ACGGAAACTAAGTAGGAAACTTGACAAAACACATGCACATGACCAGTAGAAGCGTACTAGAGTGAGGCGAGATACACCCTAGTGAGAGATTGAGTGAAACCGATTAGGAAACTTGACAAAACACATGCACATGACTGGTAGAAGCATACTATAGTGAAGCGAGATACTCCAATGTTAGAGATTGAGTGAAACCAAGTAGGAGAGAGGCACCATTGCCTCTCGCGTGCGTAGATGTCATGGTGGGGGTTCCGCCATCACGCGCCCCCGTGTCCTCGGCAACGAGCAGGTCATCGTCTCTGAGGACTCCATGAGCGACGACGCGAATGAGGAGCTCATCGAGACTGATGCTATCGTTGCTCGCCCACGAGGTGAGCCGAGAATTCTCTAGGCGGCAGTGGCGTCCACGATTGAGGAGGCACAGGTGCAGCAGGGCACCGGTGTCGGAAGACGATGCGGCGCAGCAGCGGAAATTGACTCGCCGCGGACAACCTCCTCGCTGCGTCAAAATCGCGCCTAGGACGTCCACGGTCATGATCAAGCTGGACCCTAACACATCGATTACATTTCCCCTAGGCCGAAATCGAAGGAAAGACGGCACGGCGGTACGGTCCCCCAGAGACCTGAATCGTCCCCCTTGGACTGGACCGACGCGACCGCAATGGGCCAATTAGTGGGGTCCGGACCAAACGGCGCCTGAAACGGACCAAGGGTTAGTGAGATATTCAAGTTTGACCGGTTGGGATCGGACCGACACGGCCGCATAACTTGGCCAGAAAAGGAACAGCCCTAAGAAGTCATATAGATGAACAGCCAGGCCCAAGTAATTAAGATAGGGTCATGTGCTATTTTTAGCACGGGACTGACTGTTCGTCATCCAAAGTCGGGCCTGCACCAGTCCCGTTCTAAAATTAGCACAGTCCAGCGTGGGACTGACTGTTCATCTACCGGGGACTGGGCCTGCGCCAGTCCCATTCTAAAATTAGCACAGTCCCACGCTATTTTAGCGTGGGACTGACTGTTCGCCTACCGGGGACTGGGCCTGCGCCAGCCCCGTTCTAAAATTAGCACAGCCCCACGTTATTTTTAGCGTGGGACTGACTGTTCGTCTGCCGGGACTGACTGTTCATATCCCGAGGTCGGGACTGCTGCTATTTTTAGCACAGGCCCGGTCTAGAGTTTGACCACAGCCCCTACCATGGGACTGCAGCACTCAGCCCCGATCACCTGGCCTCTCCATTATAAAAGAGAGGCCATGTCACCCAACGGGGACAGATCAGTGTGCGTGAGCTAAGGGCACACATCAGACAAACTGAGAGAACCCTCAATTGCGGGAGTACAGCGGTGCTGGAAGAACAGCAAGAGAGGGAGCGAGATACACAAGGAGCAGCGACGTGCCATCCGGGACATGGGAAGAGTCTGGAGCTAAGGGCAAGAGAGGGTCAAACCGAGGCAAGTAAGGGCAGAGGTAAGGAAAGGGAGGGGCAAGGCTAGCAGGGGAAAGTGCCTCGGGAGTTCACCTAGTCACTTGTCTTGTGCAGCCACTTTTTCTATCTGCCCCTCACCTTCTCTTTCTCTCTCCCTTCTTTTCTCTCCTTTTCCTCTCTCAGTCCTCATTATCTCCTTCTCGTCCAATTCTCTCATGATTTATGGTCGCTCACTTTTGACTAATTAGCTGATGAGCACCCACTTGCCTTAGTGAGCTATCGCTGCTCTTGCTCGCTGCTGTCGTCTGAACTCTTCGGCCCTTGGTAGGCTATGCATAATGTTGGTAAACTGTGCGCAACGTGCACTAAGTTCGAAGAACATAGTCCGAACTGTGTCTGCTCACACCATACTTGAGGGGTGAAATCAAACTGTGTGTCTGCGCACACCATACTTGAGGGTTGAAACCAAACTATATGTGTGCGCACACTGTACTTGAGGGTTGTAATCGAACTAGGTGCCTGCGCACACCGAACTTGAGGACAATCTTTGACTGTGTCTGCGCAGCTGCATTGAGCACCGAGGATATCAAGTCGATTTTGAGACTGCCTGCGCGGTCACTCTGAATATCAAACCGATTTTGAGACTGCCTGCGCAATCATTCTGGATATCAAAGCCGATTTTGAGACTGCCAGCGCAGTCACACTAAGTACCAAACTGATTTTGAGACTGCCTGCGCAGTCACACTAAGTACCAAACTGATTTTGAG